AAGGCTTAGTACTCCAACTTCACGTGATATCAAATTCATATAAATAGGTGACGAGTACAATAATATAAACATGCCATTTTTAAACTTTACTTCTTTCACAAAATTGATAATTAAATTAAATCTATGATGAATGTAATACATGTCACTTCTTACTCTTTCCCTGATAAGTGTTCATTTTACCTAATAATTTTTGCATATTTTAGTTCATTTGTATTAATTTTTAGCTCTTACGACAATATGAGTGACCATTTTGACAATATTTGATACTGTTAGTCTTGAATAACTTTGAGAAGGCTTGCGAATTCATCTCATTTTACTTGTTAAAGTTTATCAATTTTTGTAGGAATGAAGGAGTGAGAACAATCCAGGGTCATTTACAAAATGTTATTACTGGATTGGATAAGAGTATACGGGGCTAGGCAGTGAATTTCAAGTCAGATACCAACCGGATACCCACTAAAAGGTTTTGCAAGATAAAAGGTGTTGAACAGTATACGACGTTGGATTAAGGAAGTAAACAGAATAATCGTGTTAGATACTCATTCGAGAGTTTTTCGAAAAAGAGTGTTTAGCAGTATACGGCACTGGATACTAAAATTCATTTCGGATACTGCATTAAATACTTGAACGGAAAATATTTGCAAGTTGCGTAACTTGCAACCAGCTTTTCATCCTTCTTTTCTGCAGTGATTGTGACATTTTGGCAGCTAATTTTTGGGGCTAAGACATCAATTTTGTTAATTTTTGTCAACTTTGTATCATTTCATTTCACTTTTTTGGCTCTTCAAGACAAAAGAGACTTTGTTGTGAAAGATTCATAAGATTTGAAGATTTATAAATAGAGGAGCTTTAGTCTTAGGAGAAGTTTTTAGTTCTAGTTAGTTTTAAAGAGGGAGAGAATTTTGGAGCAAAAAAAAGAAATAAAAAGGATTGTTTATTGCCCTTTGAGGCAAGACACAAACCCACAACACTAATAACTTTTTTCTTCATTTCCATTAGTTTATAGGAATAGTTTAGATCTTCTGTTATATATTCATTCTTGTAAAAGTTGAGCAAGGAAAAAGATTGGGATGAAGAAATGGCACTATGAGAGGCTTTAGTGACAAAGTTTATCCTCTTCCCCAAATTCTTTATCACGTATTTACTTTGATGTTTAGTGAATTTATTAGTTTGGATATTATGTTGCTATTGTGGTTTTAAAGTTTATGCATTGGGTATTTGGATGAATTATCTATGATTGCCATGTGTTGACTTCTTAATTATTTTGGGTTATTATTTTGATTAAGTTATTTAGCACTTTTGCTCTTATAATCATGATTAATTGACCATTAATTGTGATAATTTCAAGGTGTTAGATTTACAATGAAAATTGAAATTTGACACTAGTTCATGGAAGTGTTAGACCTAGAGAGTATACTCACGAAAGTAGATGTGCACTTTTGTGGCTTGTTTTTAGTAATTTCATAGAAGTAAATGAGCTTATAGTTAATTTTATAATCGTGAAAGTAGATATGGTTTAGCTATAGGTATAGTTGGTACACCGACAAAAGCGGATATCACGTATATAAAGAAATTACGCCATAGTTTAGTCGAGATTTTAGTATTCAATTAGTTGAGAAGTTGCACTAGCATGAGTAGATAGGGATTTCATTATAGGAGTAGCTTTCATTTGCATTTTTCTACCCGTTAGTACCTTAGATTTATTTATTTTAATTTGTTGATAGTTTAAATAATAGAGAAACTTTAATAGTGCCAGTAGTTGTCCATTTTTCTTGTGGATTTGACCCTAATTACCCTATATTCATTCATGACCTGTATATTTACGAAAAATTGCGTGTGAGATAGTTTAAACAATTATAAATTTAAAACTTGATTGTGAATTGAAATTTATCATTATATGCATACTCTGCGCACATCATTCCCCTTTGAAAATTTGATAATTAAATTAAATCTTTGAAATTAGTCCTGCCAAAGAAAAAACAATGGAGTAGTAAGAAAAACACATTTTCTCCCACTGGTTTACTCATTGAGCTGGGCCCGGCTACGGAATCAATAATAGGATTTAAAGTCTAAAAGAAGGCTTATGTGTTGATCATCCACCATTTTCTCCCACTGCCTTACTCACAAAGTCACAATAAAACTCGCAAGAAGAGGAAAGCTGTTTACTATTTCATCCCGACACAAAACTGAAATTCTAATCTTTGCATGTCTGTTTACTATTTCGTTTCATACCCCTAATATATTCACAATCATCCCTACAAAAAAACCACTATCATTTTTTTCATCTTGTACTCTTGAAGTAAATAAAAGAAATAGAATAGCATACCACTGTGGCATAGACATTTCCAACACTTTTATTTCATCACAGTTTGGTTGGTTAATTTCTTCCAATTCTTGCTCCCTTATAATTTCTTTCGATTCTTTCTTCCATATTTACATATATGAAAGTTATGTCCTTACAAGGTTTTTATTTTCTGTCACTTTCCTATATAAACATTTAAAATATTATTATGACGCAAAATCCATGTCCACAACGGAACAAATAGTCAAATAGTGACCCAAAATTTCGTGAAAATGATTGAGCAAATAATTAGTTGCATAGAAAGTGACTATTTTGCAGTTCGTCAAAATTAATCAAACAAGGAGGTGCATATCCCAACGCGTAATCCAAGAACCAAAGACAACATTTTCCTCTGACATTGATAATTTATCTAATTATTTAAAAAAACATAAACATGGGGAGGTCTTATCCAAATTTGAAAAACATAAACATGGTCTTTTTCCAAATTTAATAAACATTACTTTCCTTCTTCTCAACTCGGTGAGGTCTTATTTGTTGATTTTCTGCTACTTTTCTTCCATACACGTGGTGGGTCCTTTCCTCGTGTTCTTCAAGGTTTCAAATTGTCAGGACGTTCACAGTAAAATAAGAGAATGTGCTCTTTAGATTCTTTCCAGCAGGTTCAAATTGTATATACTTGACAAACTTCACTTTTCGGTATTTTTTTGAGATTCTCTTATTACAGTCTAAATAACCGGAATGTAGACTTGTACAATTTTCTCAGCAAAAGTACTCGTGAATCCACAACTGTTATAAAACACCAAGATTAGGTGAACAATTTTGAACATCAAACTTATAGGTTGCTAAATGGAAGTGTGAGTTAGAAACAGGTGTTTTCATTAGCAACAAAACCTTCAACTGAGAATACGACATTGTGCATAAAATCAATGAAAACAGCTCATTCTGAAAATCTAATCAGTTCCTGAAGGCCTAACTAGGCTTGCAATACATGTTCATGATGATTGAAACAAACTAGCTTATTTTCTTTTGTTTTTCAGTTCGGTTCACCGACCCAAGAAACAAGATCAGCCGCAAACAAGTTCAAGACAATGAACTAGAGAGTTTCCAAGAATTTCAAGATTTGGACACTTTGACTCAAGAATTTCAAGAAACCCAATTGTATGATTCAAGAACCCCAAGATTTTCGAGAAAGTATCCAAGAAAGTTCAAGAAATTCAAGATTTTTGTTCAGAAATTCAAGAACTTCAAGTACTTGCAAGAATTAAGAAGCAACCAGCCACGAATGACTCAAAACACAAGGAACAACCCACGGATTACTCAACAAGACAAAGAAACAGCCACGGATTGTCAACAAAACTCAAGGAAAAGCACTTTTTTCTTGTTGTTTTTGCTTGTGTTGACACAAGACTCCAAGACAACAGGACTCAAGACAAAATTCAAGACAAAACACGACTTGAACAAGGGAAACAACAATTCGGATAGCAAGGACGGAACGCGGCAGCAGGAATAACATAAAAAAACCTTAGTGACTTCAACAAGATAGACTCGCACAGATTTGACAAACCAACAAGACAAGATGCATGAAGGAAAAACACAAACAAGACACGATTTGGGACTCAACAAGGACAACAAGATGTGGACAGCAAGGTTAAAACACACAAAAATCTGGAAAATTTTTTTGGATGAACAGTGATCGCTATAGGAACATGAACAGTAATAGCTACAGTAACAATGGGCAGTTATGCTATAGGAACAACAAACAGTACATTTTTTTTTTACCCTAAAAGAAAACGAAAAACCCTAGGATATAACTAGAACAAGAAACAAAAATTGACACAAGAACAAGAATATAATTCGATATCTTCAACCAGCTCTGATACCAACTGATGAGAACAGCGCCAACTTTGGGATAAAACTCGTAAGAAAAGAGCCCAAGGATCTAGAATATGGTATCAAAGTTTGAAACAGCGGATTCTAAATGATCAAGGATTGCTCAAGACCGTTTTAGAAGAGTAGAATGACTCCACAATCTAGTGCGTTTCTAGATTGATAAATCAATTGAACACTTAATAATCCTCTCAAGTATTCAAGTTTGGAACTCTTGAACAAGAGATTCACGAAACACGAAGTGTTTGCTGGAATTTTCTTAATTCATCATTCACTACCTAAAACGTTGTACTTAAGGCTTATTTATAGCTTTTACAAGATTCAAAAATTCTAATCAAACTAAGAAACAATTAGCTAGTTTCTAAACCCTAAATCGGCTACTAAGATACCTAACTCTAGTTCAGCTATAACTATGGTCAACATGACCTAGCTGTTTACTGCATGAAACTAACGATTCAATATTAACTCCAACTAATACACGGCTGCAATTAATTATAATAGACAAATGACAACATAAACTAAATAAACACACCAAACTTAAGGACCACCAAGGAAGGGATCACTGCTTGTGAATCTTCAACAAATCAACCTTTTGCATGATTTGACCATGACCTATGGATCTTATGTTCGCATCAAACAGGAATATAGACTTGCACAATTTTGTCAGAAAAAGTAAATCTCGTGAATCTTGTGAGCACAACTGTTATGAAGCATCAAGATTTGTTGAAAGATTTTGAACATCAAACTTATAGGTTGCTAAATGGAACACTACCATCTAAACACAGCTTTTGTTGTTTTAGAAACCAGTGTTTTAATCAATAAGACCACCTTCAACTGAGAATACATTGTGCGTGAACTCATCAAAAACAGCTCATTCTAAAAATCTAATCAGTACGTTCCAAAAGGCCTAACAAGGCTCGCAATACAGGTTACATGATGATTGAAACAAACTTGCATCACCTCTAATGGCTAAATCAGTAGTACAATTTGTTTCAAGATCATGAAGAGCAAGCTTTTCTCCATCAATCTGCAAAAGCAACTGCCTCTTGTTCTTTGACAGAGCTAGAGGTGTTAAGCTCCGAAATTTGGAGCCTAAAGGCATTGTAACAGAAGTTAACTTGGCCCGAGATTTGTCCACTCCATATTCTTCCATTACCCATAAATCAGCAGCATATCTTCCATCCACTTTGTAATAGGGCACAAGACAAAGGCATCCATTCAAGACCCTCAGGTTCTGGTGAACATAATTTTCAGGATACCTTGGGCAAGGCATTTTCCGGAATTCTTCACTCCAAAGATCAAAGGAAACGATGTAGCTGACACCATTCGATCTCCTTTCCTTCATGAACCAATGTAATGCACCATTAGCAAGGATACAATCTGCAGTACAATAGCAGTCATTGTCAGACACCTTAAACAGAAAACGCTCCGTCCTTCTCCATGTGTTCATCTTCAAACTATAAACAGAGACTTCATCACACCATCTTGATTGATCTGTATCAAATAGACTTGTAGAGCTAATCCTGTTCAGCACTTTGTAGTCATCATTCACCCGGTCATACCCGAACCCGACAAGAAAAGGAGCTCGACCATACATAGAATATTCAACTGGGAAAGAGGGTAATTTCCAAGACTTTGAATCCATGGATTCCACAAAACAATCTCACGTCTGTAAGGATACTTCAAACAAAGGAGGCTATTGCAATATCCTATCAAACGAACTTCATTGCCAGAGTAATCCGAAGGGCAGTTGAGCTGTTTGGCGCTCGCACTAGTACTAGAGCTTTAAGCTTCAAGATCCAAATCTGAAGTGTAAAAGGTGTTTTGGTTCAGGGCAATAATTTTGATCGCATTGGAGGAATTTGCTTCTTGCTGGGCTTTGTGAAGATGCATTTTGAAGAATTCTGAGCTATCAATTAAAGCACACCATGATTTTGAAACGCACCTGGATTGTAGCAGATAATCAAATGGTAACCTCAAAAGCACATCGGCGAGCAAATGGCACGGAATGTAATCTGACATAGTTGTGATTATTGGAAAAAGGACCTCAGCAATTGTGTCCTGCGGAAGCGAGTTCGCTTCAAGTAATGTTTGATGAAAATAATGGAGAACGAACTTTTTTGGCTCAAACGAAATGTTGTTGTAAATCTTGATAGTGAGTCTACATACCACCATATGCGGCAGTTTTCAATTATTAAGGCCAAGACGTGGTCAAAGTGAACTCCAGAACTTGAACTTGAATTTGAAGGAAAAGAAAGAGACAGCCCCAACTTTGGAGGATTCCATCTACCAAGAAAGGGTCCAATTTACGAAACCTGAACAAAGAAGGATGACCAATAATTCACCCAAATACTTAATGTACATGGCTATTAGGCTGAGTAGGGATAGTTTCGAAAATTTTGTCTAAAATTTTTTACGATACCACTTAATATTCTCGAAGTTTAAAAAATATCATTTGACTTCACTATTTTTAAATTTTTGTTAAATTTTGATCCCAATTCAAAATATATAATTAAATTAATCATTTTAGAAGGGAGAAAACAATTTCTTTCTAACAATGCCCTCTAGTTGCTCTACTATTTTCTAAAATTGTAAGTATAATAACCAAGTGCTAAAAATAAGGACAAGAAGCATGAAAATATGCAAGTTTAGAGGGATAAAATATAACAACTGCAACCATAAGCAATATAATTTTCTTAAAGTACAAACAAATTAAAAAATCCCACTAGCGTGCAAAGTAGGATTTTCTTCCCCTAACATCGCAACAACTCATTGTGGGTTGGGGACCATTGTCCGATGCCTTATGAGTCCAACTAAGTTAAGGCAACCGGCAGGCAAAAGTGAGTGAACTGTATGTAACAGAATTTTTTTTAAAAAAAAAAAGTGGAACTTTCTAAAGGACTAAACAATAAATATGCATATATATTAGACTTAGTTGATAAATTAATCATCATCGATGTAAATGCTCAATTAGGAGACCGTAAAGAGCATAGAGATCAGAAGACATAAATGCCAAAGTCCATTTCTCAAAACATGAATCCATTGGCAACAATATTCCAATTTTGATAATATCCAACTACTGCAGCGTATAATTATGGGAAATTCTCCCCAATTCTTTTCTAAAACCAAAAGGAAAATTTGCTTATGGTGGCTAGCTCTATTTGCTGAACCATGCAAATTGAATTAATCGTTTGTAACGCTATCATTATCATTAATATTTATCAGTTAATGGTAATGGGTTTCTTGGTTGAAACCCATAAAGTGTTTTGTAACGAAACATATAGATATAGGTTTACATTTTTTTTTTCTTTTTCCTACTTTTTTAAAAAAGTTTTCTTCACTCTCTCAACTTCTTCTAGTATTTGTTTACTTTTGGTTTTTAATTAAAAATATCAGTTACATTGGTGAGTAAATATTATTGATTCCCTATTAAAATACTTGTTAACCACAAGATGAACCTATGATATCTATTAACTCATTCCGATTAACCTTATCAAACAATAAGTATCACTTGCTTCAAAAAAAAAAAAACAATAAGTATCACTATGATTAATTTTGAAACTCATTCCTTATAGAAGCAACTTACCGAATGCCTTCTAAGTATATGAAAAAAATTGACTTTATACTAAACTTGATTGATGTTACAATTTGTGTGGATAAATTTTTATGAAAATTTGTGAAACACACTATGCATATTTCTGATGCGATGCAATTCCCAAACTATGAGTAATTTTTTTTAAACTTAATGTTTTGAGAGTATGCAAAATGAATCAATGATCAATTGTAAGCAAAGAAAAATAACAGTCAATGAATGATTGGTACTTAATATTATATTAGTCCATAAGACACATTGTAGGTGTGCAAGTAATCAAAATTATGGTCTTTTGTGATGATCCCATCTCCCCCCTATGGCGTACCCTAGGGTTTAGTGAGTCGCCTGTCCAACTCTCGTCAGGATTCACTCACGTTTAACTCGAGAAAAGAACTTACAACCATAGAAAAGAAATAAAACAACGATTCCAAGCTTAACATATACACTGATGCTCAAATCCAACTACAAGACTTATACGCCCAAAAATATCAAGGTATTTACAATCCAGGTGTAACGAACCCTAGTCGAGCACTACCACGAGTAAAATTTCAAAATCTAAAAAACTAGACTATGCTAGCCTGTACAAGTCTCACGCCTCGCTCGTATCCCCTGTAAGAAAGACAAAACTAAAGGAATGAGTTAAAAACCCAGTGAGGTTCCATACACATAATCGAGTAATTAAATCCAAGACATTAATCATTTAATAGCAAATAATCCAGAAAACATTTTACATATAAAAGCAATAATAACCCACTCATTAAAAGGATACATGCTCACGAGGAGTCATTCGTTCATTCGTTCGCCAACCATTTTCTTTATTCCTCCAACATTAGAAAACATTTGCAAGTGAAAACTCCTCCAATGTTCTTGACATTCATTCATTCATTTCATTTCCCGCCATTAGCCAATTCACTGGCCAGTCTCTACCAATATTCGTGGTCATACTCGAGTATATCAAAACACTGTCCCGGGGTCACCAATTGCCCGGCCGAGTCCGCTTCTGGCTCAAGTCGGCTGGCAACGAAGGGCAAAGGCCCAGTTCAGCCAAGAGGCTTACATTCATGCATGTGAGAACCCTCACTTTAAAATACAATTTCACTAAACTACATGCCTTGCCTTAAGATTTAAATCACTTATTACATGCCCTTGCATTATATTCTACATGTGTTACAATAATTCCCTTGTATTGCATTTCATATCCTCTACTTGAATTAAAACATTTTTTTGAGTTGGTTTTAGTTTATTTCACCACTTACATTTTACCAAGTGCCTTTTATTTGTGGTAGGGACTTTATATGAGAGATTAGAGATGTTAAATAGGTATTGGTATATTTGAAAGGGTGGTAACATCATTAGTTAAAGAATTAAGAGAAGTTGTGGACAAGAAGTGGGTTATGTGGCAAAACCCTAGGCAAGTATTTTGTTTGACCAAGGGTTAGAAGACAATTTAAACTAGTTTTGGCCTTTTCTTTTCTTGTTGTGGCCGAAACCCTTGAGGCTTGTCAAGGAAGAGAGAACTCCATTTTCTTGCATTCTAACCCTAGATGATCAAGAACAAAAACCAAAAGAGAAAGATCTTGAGTTAGTTGAGAAACTTTCCTCCAACCCTAGTGCTTGTTTCAAGCTTGAAGCTTTCTTTTGAGTGGATTGATTTGGTGGTTCAAGCTTCTTATAAAGAGAGGTAAATAATCTTTAAATGATAGTTTTATGGTGTTATATCACGTACTTTAAATTTTAATGGCAAACTACAACTTGTTTTGGTTAAGATTTGGGGTTAATCTCTTGAATTAAACAAGTAGTGGTTGAGTTAGTTAATATGCCTACCATGTGTTTGATAAAATGTTTGAACTTTGTTCATGGTTGTTTATGAAGTATTAACATATTTTAGACCTCTTTTAAGTTAGATTTAACACTTGATATGTTGTTTAAGTGAAAATCATGAGAGGATGAAGGTTGGATAAATAAATGGACTTGTGGACTGTTTTCTTTTTCCTTGGCTGACCGGTATTAGAAGGAAGGGTTTCTCCTTGATTTTTCTGGCTCAATTGTACGCTAATCAAGTCTAATAAACTAGGCTAGACATTGGTTAAACTCATGTGTGAGTTGAATGAAATTTGAGCAAGTAAAGTGGTGGTTTGGACCATTAATGGTCTGTTTTGGTTTTCTTGATGGCTAGACTGTTATGGTCATTTTTAATCATGTTTATGTGTTAAATTTTGAAATCCAATGGTCCTAGGTGACTTGACTTCTTGTATATGAACGTTGGAGGACTGATTTGGGTGAATTTGAACCAAAACAAATGAAGATAGCACCAAGAACTAATGTAGTTTTGCTTGAGGTTAGGGCTGATCTAGAGTTGGAAATCAGCCAACTTTTCTGAGCTACTGGTACTGATAGGAGATGATCCAGAGTGTGAATTTGATACCGTTGGAAAGCCCTTCGAGTTTAGTTTCCAACGCCACAGACGGCACCTAATTCTGACTTTCCTACAATGAGATATAGCCGTTTTCCCAAAACTGCACGGGTGTGACTGTTTTACCCGTGAAGAACTTTTTGAGCTTGAATGAGACTTTTCTTTTGCCAAACTTTCATGCACCTACCAAACTTGTTTTCTCATGAACTTTTACTGTAATTTGGACCTCATTTGTATGATGAATTGAGTAGCTTTAACTACTCACTTGGTCACTTAATGAGCCCACGATAGAATGAGATATGAACCTAATTTGTTAACGATTTCACTCATTACCCTAGGATTGGGAAACGAAGGTGGTCGTAATCGAGACACTTGACGTTTGACTACTACTTTGCTTGACAGGTGAGTGTTTCACTACCTATTATCTGTCTATGTGAAATATCTGAATACTTGTTTTGCGACTGTTTGAACCAAACATTGTTTTCCTAAAAATTGAAGCGAGCGTGTACTTTATCGCACTCGACCTCCCTTGTTTCCACTGAGGCTCTGTATACTGCTATTATGAGATATGATTTCCCAATATGTGACTGTGTTTGAGTTGTTTGGGTAATACCCCATCAACTACTGCTACTGTTTAGGT